TCGCTAGCATTACCCTCAATTTGTTTAAAAAAATGTATATTGAAAAAAAGCTATATTTATAAAGAATATAGACAGGCCAGGCGGCCTGATGTTTTAAGCGGCCTGCCTGGCCTGGCTGAAGTGTCGGCCTGGCCTGCCTGTCATAGGCCAGGCCTAAAAAACGTGGCCTGTGCCTGTGACAGGCAGGCAGGCCCAGGCAGGCAGGCAGGCCTAGTGGCCTGGTTGGACCTCTGTTACCTAAGCATTGATTGATACCCGATGACTTCCTTTGTTTATTCTATCAATTGATGAATCATAGCTTTTAACTTTCCCCCTTGCTAATTATTGGTAATAAAGTCCCATACATAATAATCTACAACATTGAGATCATAGCTGTTTGATGGGCATCTGCCGCTGTTAACAAATCATCCGTGATATTGTGTCAAACCATGCGAACAATTGATCAAGAACACTTCGTGTGATATAGTCTTGTTGGAAGATCAAATCATCCCCTACGAGCTCTCTATCTTCAGATAGTGCAAGAAAAATAATCTGTTTTTGCAGCTTCAAAGATGCAACTCACAGAATTTCGTCTATTTTGAACAGAAAAGATGCATGCACTAAATAACCTGTTCTTGTTAAATTGTAGAACTTTTTACGTTCCATGCAGTGGTGTGTTTTGTTATTTCAATACAAATCATTAAGTGACATAAATTGAAGTAAAAAAAGCTTGCTAGTGCAAACCCTTTGGCACTGAAATATAAATCTCACATATCCTTTTCAGGTTCATTATTCTGGTACAACATACATGGCATAAAAGCACCAAAAGACGATAGTTGTGAGTGTTGGTTTGGGCTCCAGCGTGCGTGTGACATTACTGTATCCCAAAACCCACACCTCACAATAAACTCTGCAATTTCTGTTCCGAAATATTTTGAGACGAAGAAAATAGTAAAAACAGAGGTTAAGAATTTTAAGCCACTACTGATGATGACAAAAGAAAAAACTAATACAAAATTGGCATTTTTGACAAATCAAAAACAATTACAATAAAAACACAGACAGTATCCTTCATTAATGTATCAGGTTACATATGTACGTATGACTACATTCTCTAATGCATGCGAAAGCTCATCGATATTATTGCAAAAGTTACAAAAAAGAAAATGACGCTCTATAACACACAACAACCTTGAATTTGTTATTTTTTTCTCTTCCTGCCGGTAAATATTGATAATACATCACTTTCTGTTTTTCTTTCATCTTGAATTATCTTGATTATTGGATTTTATCCCAGTCAGTATTGTTTTCTCCCTGTGTTTAAGAGTTTTCTTGGAGAAGTACGAAGATAAAACGCAACCGAGTAGCATTAACACAAAATACTATAGATTATTTTTGACCTTTTTACACTGGATCTATTCAGGATTTATTTGGATGTATTTACTATGTCTGAATATTAGCACATCCACACCTACACTTTTCCAGATATTTAGTGTTGACTTGAGCGGAATTCATTTGAAAACAAATAGATACTCCTTCAAAAGATCCGAAAGTCCGAACACTAATAAGTGACGATAACTGCTGTCATTTACAGATGAGCGATAGTTCCATAAAGAAATGTGTAACGGCATTAAAGACAGTTCATTGTCAATTTTTTTCTTTCGTCGATATACAATACTCGTTAAAAGTCTCTCTACGAGATGAAAACTACCTCAATGTTCACCATTTGACCTCAGATTTTTACCATGAATAGAACTCAATGAATCCTGATCCAAACACCAACCTCATCGCGATTAGTTGAGCTAAACCCGAATAATTACTTACACAATATCGTCCGCTTGTCTAGATCTTATCTCGATAACGTTTCTGACGAAAACCGTTATAGAGCCTCTAGTCTTAGTTTTCAGTTTGTTTTTAATAACTCGAGTAAACTATGATGAGTTCCTTTAAATGTTTGAGTTGCAGGTTGCTATGCCTTTAGTAATTTGTGATAAAATTTTTAGAATCACATTTTAAACTAGAGTGGAGATGGAGTCATCAAAAGAACACATTACAGCACATATTGCCAATCAATGAGATGTCGATATCATGGACTGCGTTTTTGGCTGCATAAACTAAATGTAAGATACTACAATTATCACTAGCAAAAGCCTAAATGTATTATACTAACGAGAAACGACAAGCAGAAATTCTCTGAGTTCATATTTTACACTCACTTTCGTTCAATTTTTACAAAGATATATCAGCAGGTTTTTCATACATAGACACTGCCGTACACAAGTTAACTGAGCTTCCGCGTTAAGTCAACGTCTTGTTTGGAATCTTGCTAGTTCACCTCCAATATTCACGCAGATAACACTATTTCCTCTGGATGTAAAACCATCATTAAATAGGCACCGCTTCTCACGAGAACGTCTAATAACTTTTTGCGTAAATTGAACGAAAATGAGTAAAAATGTGAGCTCAGAGAGTTTTTGCTTATACCTTAACGTTAGTACAATTAATTTAGGTTTTTGATAGCGGCAAGTACAGTACCTCACGTGTAGTTTATAAAATCAAAAGCATATCTCATAATATCGAGATCTCATTGATTGGCAATATGTGCCGTAATGTGCTTCTTCAATGAGGCCATCTCTGCTCTAGGTTAAAATGTGATTCTGAAAAATTTATCACAAACTACTAGAGGCACAGCAAGTTGCAACTCAAAGGTTTAAAGAAACTCATCAAAGTTTAGTCGAGTTATTAAAAACAAACTGAAAACTAAGAATAGAGGCTCTATAACGATTTTCGTCAGAAACGTTATCCAGATAAGATCTAGACAAGCGGACGATAATGTGTAAGTAATAACTCGGGTGCACCTCAACTAATCGCGATGAGGTTGATGTTTGCGATCAGAATTCATCGAGTTCTATTTATAGTAAAAATCTGAGGTCAAGTGGTGGACATTTAGGTACTTTTGATCTCGTAGAGGGACTTTTGATGAGTTCTGTCTTTCTAATACTCCAGTTTTATCGATTGCATTTTGCAGGTGATCATTTATAATCAAAAGAAATTATCGACAACGTGACCATGGTTTTCTTCATCCTTTTTCTTTTTATGGAGAATACATCTTATTCCGCGATGTTGAACATTCCGGAATCAGTTCCGTTCAATTCCGGGAACTCGATCATGATTCTGTAGAACAGGCTTAATTGATATTGATCGGGTTCCATCGATTTCCGGAATTCCGGGAATTGAGTGAAGACGGAGTTATAGGGAATTCCTGGAAATTCCGGAATTGGAAGGAATTTCTGGGCAATGGGAGTAATTCGGTCGGGAATTAGTTCCCGCCATTCCTGGAATTGGCGGAACTCGATCGGTGCCGAGTAGGTCAATTATGCCGAATGATGATCGAGTTTCCGGCATTAGATGGAACTGATTCCGGGGGGAACTGATTCCGCAATGTTCAACATTGCGGAATAGGATGACTGCTCTTTTTATGATCGTTTCGAGTCTTTAATAGGACAAAGTTTATGGGAGAAAAGCCGAAATTGTGTTTTAATGAAATTCTTTGCAGTATTTTACTTCTAGACTACAGTAGAAAATTTATTTCACAAGCGATATTATATCTTGAAATATAACCACTTGAAATTCACCACAAAAGAACATCGCCGACGGTTTCGAGTATAAATATCATCATTTGATGTGTAGTTATTTTGCTTTACGTTCTTTTATCTTCGGTAAAAGCATATAATCATCTTTATATATTTAAAAACAAAGAAGAAAAGAACAAAAATCAGTCTTACTTCGTCCACATAGATAGGCAATGGATACCAACAATAAAAAATCTTCAAATAAGCAACAAAACAAAAAAGCAACAATTCGAATTATAATAGAAGTGAGCATTGCTATTATAATAGTCATAGTAACCATAATATTATATATCCATTGGAAAAAATTAATTATTAATAGTGTACTGAAAGAAGTAATACTTAAACCGAATTCAGCAGGTTATAATACATGGTTAAATCCGCCGACAACTATTACAAGAACTTATCGCCTTTTTAATATAACTAATCCTACTGTAATTGTTTCTAATCCTGCTACGACAACAATAAGTGTTCAAGAAACTCGACCATATTCATATTTATTATCTTCAACTAAACAAAATATTCAATGGTCAGAGGATTATAGTTCAATTAGTTATTCAGTTCATCGATTATTTACTCGCCATCCAACTCGATTTGATTCATCATCTGTTAATGATACAGGTGTATTTATTGATTTTGTTCGAGCTATGTTTCGAGCACAATTTCCAATTAAAGCAGTACCAATATTTTATCATTTGGGTGGCATGGAAACATTTTATCATAGAAATGCTATTGAACAATTAGAAGGATTTACTTCAGATTTATTTGATATCGTTCGACAAAAAATGACTGGGCCAAATACAGCTAAATCAGGTTTTATCTATCGTTATAATGACAGTCGAGCATACAATTATACAGTTAAATCAGGTATGAATATTTTTCAAATTACTCAGTCATTTTCTTAGTTCTATATTTCTTATGACAAAAGAAATTACATTCTAGTTCTTATTATTCAATAAAGTCGAACAATTGAATCTGCATAAATGGAATATAATTATGGCGTTAAATTTCGTAATAGAAATAATTGCTTTCTGATTGTGAAGAACATAAATGCCTTAAGAGACTAACTCTAGTCAAGGATTATGGAGAAAACAGATTTGTAAAAAGGTAGATTCCGTTCTTGTAATAGCAATGAACGGATACTGAAGGTTTATCATTCAACACTTGCTGTTTTTGCAGTGAAAATATGCTATTTTTCTTTGATAAAACTTGTTTAGAATAAGTTTATTTGTTCTTATCAAAGTCATGAAAGAATCTTATTTCATGTGCTAACAGTTTTCTTAGCTCTGCTACTTGAGCCCAACTTATATCACATGTATGTTTTGACAATGACCTAGTTTACATTTGGGTCGTCGTTCGAAGACAAAAAGTTAGCTTTTTTTGAAAAGGTTGAGTGAGAAAATTTAAGACTTGGTGTTCAGAAATTAGTTGATGAGTAAAGTACGCTTCTTTTTTTAAACTACATACAGAAATATCACACATTCATGTTTGCATAAGCTGCCAGATTGTAAACGATAATAATAGGATACCTCTTTCTGGAGATTTGTAATATCACTGGCAATAATATGAAGAAGTTCTTAAATGTCAATTAATAGTATGTACAATAATATTGAATCATCTGTTATGAATTTTGATTTCAGGTTTGATGGAAAAAGGTCAAGTACTTTCTTTTTCCAGTGAAAACGTTCCATTTGCATTTTCTACAGAAAACTTGCATGGTGTTGTTATCTATGATGGTCTTACATTTGTGCCAATGCTCTTCAAAAACCCATCATTCAATATTTTTCAACCTGATTTTTGTCGTCCAATTAATGTTAAATACAATAGGGTTCTATCTATGTTTGGAGGTATTCATGCTCATGAATATGTCATAAAATTAATTGATTTCAGTCAATGTACAGATCCAAGTGATGTTAATACATGTCCAGAAGTTGATAAACTTGATGTATCGAAATGTATATCTGCTTCACTTCCAGAAAAAACAATCTTTTTATCAAAAGCACATTTTTATGGAAGTAGGGATGAAACGAAGAAACAACTAAATATTGAAGGATTTACACCAACACGTGATCAACATGAAGCATTAATGTATTTTGAACCCTATTCTGGTGTACCACTTCGTACTCATCATCGTATTCAACTTAATATTGAAAGTATCATTGATCCTATGGAAGATTCCGAGTTGGGATCTGATCTTGAACCAGCAGATCGTGAAGGTGTCAAACGTTTGGTACCTATCTTATGGATTGATCAAGAAGTTAATGTTAATCATGCAACTATTAATAAATTAAGAATGATTCATCTTGCTCTTCGTCATGGACAAACTTTTATCATCGTATTAGCCATAGTTTTAATTATCGTTATCATTGTTATTATAGAACTTGTGACTAGACGAATGGCCACAAATGAAGCAAATGAACGTGCCGGTAGTCCTGAATCAGACGCATTCCTTAAAAAATAAGGGGAAATTTAAAAAGATTAGACTTAATAATAATATACGACTCATTGATTATACTTTCCTCGCTAAAATTCTTTAATTTATCAGATGATCAGGCTTTTTCTTAATTCTATTATGCTACTTTTACATTAGCATAAATTTCTGATCAATCTGAAAACTTCATATTTACGTTTTTGACTGCAGAACTTACAGTAAAATCTATGATTGAATAATTAAATACAGAGAGCTTTGCCAATTATTAGATTTAGTTACTGAAGATCGATCAATTTGATAAAATCTTTTAATAGTTTCGTCAAACAATTTTAAGTAGTAGTAATTTAAAGTATGAATCAGACATTTTATTCTTGAAAAATAATAAGTAATCATAGAAAAGGTCCTACCGAATCTTTGATATCAACATTGATGTTGACAAAAAGGTGGATGTGAGCGTGGGTGTGAAGGGAAGACCTATATGCACATGCACACGCACAACCACATCCCATACTCATAGCCACACATCCATACTCTGAAACGTTTGTTATATAGTATTTTTGTGAAGTGTCTTTTACGGTTATCTAATCTCGTTTAATTATCACACTCATGAATCTCTATCTACGTTTTCTTTTACGTAAATATCAACTTATTCTCAAACGTTGATACTAGATTAATTATTGAATATCTTAATGATTGATTCTCTTCGGTTTAATAGAGAAGACAAACACCACCTATTATTGACGTTATCGTACATTTGTCGTGAATATCTAAAAGTTTTATTGTTAAAAAAAATTTGCCTTAGTGAAAATGTTTTAAACTAATATAGACTCATTTTCTTGTCTTTGACTTTCAACGATGATCATTTATGTTGCTTTTCCGATCCTGTTATGTATCTAGTTTGGTTTAATCGATTGTTTTAGGAGTTTCACGGCGTATTTATCCTTCCAATACAATTTTCCATTGGTTTTCTTACTTATGAGAGTGAGTAATAACTTGATACAGCTTATTGAACATAGTTTGCTGTTCTTTTTCAAAGATATGCTATTGATAATAAGAAAATAACGTGAAAGTCGAATAGTGACATTAAGAACACTTGTGAAGTTTCTTTAGTCTTGAAGAATGATAATATTAGATGATGTAAAAGAACTGATTTTATTATCAAATGGCCAATCTCAACAATGATGAGAGTGCTTTTTTTAGACACGATTGAGTCCAATCCGCATCGAATATCCGATTCACTGTCCGATGAGTACTTGGAAGCACAGAAATGAGCAAACGAATAGTCATTGCAACCATCAATGTATTGTCAAAACAAAATCCCAATAAAATTTTCTAAACAGTAGAGTCATTCTTCAATCGGAATACCATTAACTAAATTTTCAATTGGGAATTAACAGGGCTCATTAATTTGGAGACTAAAATAATCTTGGGAGTGACGGTGTGAGGATTAATGATCACTGCTAATTCTCAATTGAAAATTTAGTTTATTGTTCCCTTATTGAGAAATGTTTCTTCCATTTGAAAAATTTACAAGAATTTTGTCTTGACAATGCATTAATTGTCCCAATGGCTACTCATTTTTTCATTTCTTTGCATTCAAATAGTTAATAGACAGTAAATCTGCGGACAGTAAATCATGTAAATCCATCGCTCTTTTAATGAGTTTGATTAATAAATAGCGAACAAATTTATCACACAATCTATAAACTCATTGTATGATAAACATTTTGCAGCAGTAGCAATAGAGAACGAACAGTTAGGGTGTGGACGTATGAGTCGTTGAAACACTAAACACACTCACACTCCTATCAAAAGTAATGGCGACGGTACTTTGGTTCCGTATAGAAAGCTTTAGGGGACTTTCTCTGTATATGTAATGATAGTAACAACAATGCTTTATTTTTCTGTGATATTCCGTCATGATTTACTTCGTATAATAATAGGGTATGGGTACTGGTGTGAGTGTGTTTAGTGTTTCAATGGCTTCCACATCCACATCCCACCCTTTTCTACTGAAATCGGTTCGATAGTCGTAGAAACGATTGCATCAGTTCAATTTATTATTCAATATACTTACAAAGCAAACTCTTTCAATATTCAATTTATGAACAGAAATAATTTAATTATATAAAAACTATTTATTTTACAAGTCTGAGACATTAATTAAGCTAAAAAACCTATAATTACTATAGAAGAGTATACTTAAAGAATAATAGTTTAATTGTTTTTTATTCGACCCAATATGTTTTCGAACACTTTCTTCGACCAAAATCGATAAATTAAAATTAATGGAAATAATTGATAATAACCATAACCTAGTGTAAATAAAAATAAGTTTTTTGCTTTTTCTTTACCAAACAAAGCTTGATAGAAAAAATAATTTAAATCAAAAAATAATATCAACGAAAATAGAATCATTGGTATACGAATCCGTTGGTGTTTATGATAAATAGCATAGATAGCAATTAAATAGAATGGTGCAAATAGAAATGGCGAAAGACAAGTTAAATATTTAACAAAAGAGTCATTATGAAGTAAAATTGGATCAACATTTTCACACCACCAATAAAATAATTTGAAAACAAATTGTGGTGGCCAAAGCCATTTTGATGTATATTCATTTCGAATTTCTTCATTGACTGGAGCAACAGAATTGATATAATCGATGGTAATGGCGAAAATAAAAAATGTAATAAAAGTACCAATTATTAATTTGTCAATAGATCGCATTGATTAATAAGAAAAGAGAGATGCAATTAAATCGTTATTGAACTTTGTACGCTCTACTACTGATCTAGAAATAACAACCATGCATGTTATACCTCTTTCATAATAAAAAGAATTCTGTTTCGTCTATACACATTAGTAGGGACACTCAACCGAAAAAACAGAGCAAATAAGTGAAACAATACCAAATGCTCCGTGATTGGTGTTTTAGTTTTTGAGATAGGCTAGGTATAACTTTGATATCAGTTGATAGAGAAAAATATTCTTTATCGAACTGTGTTTTTGGTTTTTTATTAAAAAAGGCAAGTAAAAATAATAGAGGGCACCACCTTAATAGGCTTAACGTGATTGGTTGAAAACACTGCAACATTAATTAGTTCTAGGTCACTTCTCTCTCTCATACTTGTCTTGTTTAAGAATAATATTCAGTTGTTCAGCAAGCTTATCGTTTCTGTATGAATAGATTCGTGAAATAATAAAAATATTTTCCTATTGAAAACATATTTATTCACGAAAATGACGTTATATTTGTCAAATAAACGTTTAACAATGATTAATCATTTCATACATAGCAGAAACTAACCACATAAATGACACAATTGAGAAAAACAATAAAGTACAGGGTACAAATTAAAAACCGAATTAATTTAGTCAATTGACAAAGACAATGAACCACATTGTACAATTGATAAAAAGAATGAAGTACACAGTACAAATGAAAAAATAACTTATTTGACTAAAGCCACAGAGAACAAAAAAAATACATGCTACAGTTTGTGACAAGCACGAAGATTTGTACAAACTATTGTTGTTCGATGCATTGAAGAGAAAATCAGATTGAGTTGATATAACTATTAATTTTCCACAAAGCCAACATGATAAACGTTTCAGGGCATTTAGCTTGACGAAGTAATCGTATACAATAATTAGGGGCGCCATGTTATAGTTATTCTCAAATTAAACTGTCGGTAATTTATATTCCAAATATATATAGATCATCATGATTTATATAAATTACTGAAATTTTATATTTATTTTATATTAATAGAAAGATGACTCCCCTAATTACAATAAGCAAGAAAATATTGTTTGTACGCATGGGGCAGTGTTTTAATGAGAATATAGAATAATGTGTACAGTACACGCAGTTTTAGATGAGCAAACTATATGTGTACATTTGCTTTTCATAAGCAAATGGTAGGAAAGGGCACAAGATCAAAATTTCATGTAATAAAAAGAAATGAAAACAAAATTCTCATATATCATTGGCACACTAAAAAGATCAATAATAAATAAATAAATAGAGACTAAGTAGAAAAAAGTCAGTATCTTATTCATTTACAAAGGTTTATCACGTAAAAATACAGTACTAGATTACCACATGAAAAGGAGAGACTAAAATTCACTATCTTATCAGAATCCTAAATGATGATAAGTCAATCGGAATTGTTTAAGCATTTTCCTGCAAAATTTACACTGTATACTCTGTTTTCTAAAACCAAATATATAGCAGCGTGTATTTCCACAGTTAAAGATGTCTGTACACTTTGTTTCCACTGTGCACACTTCCCATTAAAAACACTGCTGTGAACGTGAACTAATTCATGAATAGAAAGAAGTAAAGACAATGCCATTGTCTCCATCGCATTTCTATTCATGAATGCAGTCATTATCGTAGACATACAGCTGTATATTAATGGCGATCTCTTAAACTCAAGTTGGGCTAACATTCGAGCTGATGAAGCTTTCTATATCACTTTATAAGTCCGAATTATGACCCTAAAAGTGTTCGAAAAAGTGTCTAGACATGTGGCACCCCCACAAAATGCTTTTTTCTGCTATTGATTCGATGAGTCATCACTCAGCGTACATACTATATGACAATCACGCCATCATCTTGTTGTGTTATAGATAAAAACAAGTGCTCTCTTTTTTGTATTGATAAAGAATAAAATAGAACTTTGCTTTCACTTTAAAGAAAAGAACAAATAAACCATCAATTCATTTATGATACGAGCAAATTTTTGTTTATTTGCTAGTCGATCTGTGCCATATCTGTTTAGCTCTTTCTTGCATTTTGTTACTTGTATTGGTATTCATCTATCATCGAAATAACAATCACAAGAAAAATCATTGAATCATAATATCTAAGGGTACTTAATAATGTTTACAAAGATGTATCAGTTTTTAATCTTGATTCATGAGGATAAAACCAGGTTTTGTTATCCTAACGAGGAACGGTTCCATATGAAGAACGATTGAATCTAACGAATTCTATTTTGTTTATTAACGCCTGAAGTCGC